AAAAAAAAAACTATAAAATACCATTAATTTATTATATTGGCAACACTTCAAAATACAGCATTAAAGGGGTTTTAGAAACTGAGGTTCTCATCTATTCATAGCAGGGCTGGAAATTCCTATACTTTTTACAAGTCAACGGGCAGAACCAATCATAATAGCACTATGAATTCCCTGTAGATTTTCCTTTACAGAATTCATCTTGCTGAAAGACTATCAACTTATCTTACAAAATACAGGAATGTTGGTATGGTGTGAAGGTATGGTGCATGCGTGTATATACACAGACCAATGATGGATGGATGGACAGATATTTAAATGTTCCATACAGCACCATCTGAAGTAGGGAAAAAGTGAAAGAAACTAATAATTAACCAAAGAATGCTCAAATAAAATCTGAAACACCATGTAGCTATCAGAAAGGTTAAGGGAGATAGGTATAATGAAATAGAATCAATTGCATTTGTTTTAAGCATAAAAAGAGTAGGTTTCCAAAGTCAGTTTATTAATCAGGTTTTCATCCTGGCAACATTCATGTAACAGTGGTATACATAGTAGGATATCATAAAGCATAAGAATACTAACTCTAGGACCAGAATTCTTAAATTTAAATCCGAGTCCTCCCCTCCCCTACTTACTAACTATGGTCTTGGGCAAGTCACTTAACCACTCTGTTTCCTTACATTTACAAGACCAAAAATAGCAGTGCCTACATCACAGTTTGTTGTGAAGTACATTTAATATAAATAAATCAGGGCAATGCTTACACTAAGGAAGCATTACATAAATATGGGTTTTGCTGTTGTTGTAATAATTACATGTAAAAACACAGCACAGCCGGGAATTTCTTAAGTGCTCAGTAAATATCTAACATTATCATTATTATAAACCAGCACTCATTTTAGGCACTTTTGTGTTTGTTAGCATATGTCAATATGTATTTCTGAGTGATTTTGAAGTATATTTATTAAAAGTTAGGTACATGAAGTAACAAGATGCAGATAACTACTATGTAACAAAAATGAAACATGACTGATTACAAGGTTTAAACAAATTATTTGCCTAACAATTTAGGTACCAACACATTATGTCTCTCTTTGGCTATATGAGAAAGCATTTTTTGATTAACCAAAAAATTATCAGGAAACCACTAATAATTCTGCCAGTTGTCTGGCACCCTTGCTGTCAAAGTCACGGTATATAAGTTACCTTACTGGTACTGTAACAAGCTACCACAAACCTAATGTCCTAACCAACACAAATGTATTACCTTATGGCTCTGGAGGTCAGAAACCCAAAATGAGTCTTACTAAGCTAAAATCAAGCTGTATTCCTTCTGAAAGCTTTAGGGGGACCCCAGTTCTTTGCCATTTCCAGCTGTAGTGGCTGCCTGCATTATTTGGCATCTGGCTCCTTCTTTGATCGTCAGAGGAAATCGCTTGACCTTCTCCTTTTGTCACCACATCTTTTTCTGCCTTTGACCCTCTTGCCTTCCTCTTAGAAGAACCCCTGTGATTACACTGGACCCACCCAGATAATTCAGGATAATCTCCCCCTCTCAAGAGCCTTAATTTAGTCTATCCGCTAAATCCCTTTTGCCATGCAGAGCAACACACTTAGATGTTCTGGATATGACTAGATATGGACATGTTTAGGAGCCATTATTCTGTCTGCCACACATGGGTCCTACCAGTGAGATGGAATCTGCAAGCAACTTGAGTTCAGGCTGTTCTCCTGGCTACTCCATATTGACAGGGCAGGAGTACCTCATCTCCAACAAACACAGCCACTTTAAGTTCCAGCTCCCTTTCTAGCCTCATGCATTTCAAGGAAATCACTTCTCTTCTAATTACAAGCAGCCAGAAAGAGCAGACATTAAAACACAGATAAGACAGCTGGGGCAGAGAGGGAGGTATAGGAAAAGTCTCTTGTGCAACAACCAAACTTCACCCTTCTACAATGGGCCCCAATAAAATAGTGGGTCTTAATAAGCACATTCCTTTCCCTTCAGGCACTAACATAGGGAAGCTAAAAGCAGACTTGGGGGAATAAGCCTGCAGCTGCAAAAAGATATATGGAAACAGACACACAACTCTCCCTCCCAGATAAGCACAACAAAGAGACACAGAAGCAGTCCAAGCCTCTGATAACTCTCCCACCCTGAGTCCTGAGAAACTCTTAGTCTGTAAGAGAGTGTGTGCCTCTGACCTAGCTCAGCCAGAAGGTGCCTCTCAGGTTTGTTTTCTCTAAAAGAAATCTGTTTTGGCTGGTGGGCCACCTTTTCGTGCTTCTTTCCTCTTTCTTTAATTCTTACACATATCAACTGAGCTCTGCCAAATATAAGCCTCAAAAGATCAAACCGCCAGAAAAGGAATTTATAGTGGTGCTTCATGCTCCTGCTTTGGAGGATGGCAGTGTGCCAGAAATCATGATACTCAAATTTAAAATACTTAGAATTTAATAGAGTATAAGACATAATATCATCATAATAACTTAAAAACATTTATATATCCCAGACGTAAAATTTGTGTGTACATGTCAACATTCCCCTGAAGGAAAAAAAGACTATGGTCTGTTCACCACTCTGTGCCCTCACCACTAACCCTTTACAGAATACTTTACCCAGGGAGACAATAATTCTTTTTTAATTAAATGAGACTAAAAATAACAAAGTCCCTTTAAGACAAACCTATTTAAACATATTTAAATGTTTAAAATCATTAAGAAAGGTTAAAACACAACTAACTTTACTTCTTACCATATATAATATATTTTAGGTGAAGACGTTTAACAGTTTCTTCCACAGTAGGTTTATACTCAAGGGAACATGTATAAATTCCACTCATACGCTCCTGAAAATTTTGGAATACAAGGCTTCCTGTGGATGTTACTTGTGTAGTGCTGTTTTCTACTAAAGGAATAAGATACAGTTATTAGATGCGTAAGTTACATGAGGCAAGTACCAAAACATTTTCTAAGCAAGGTAAAACCATCACAATTCACCAACACAGTCAATGAAAGGAGTGGTGGACATAGCTAGGACACTGTATCTGGTGTCTGCTAACAGTGGGTGCCAGGGTAACCTTCTTAGCAGCAGACATTCACTATCCAGAGTTCATCAATTGCACTGTTGCCTAAGTTGTAAGAGACTAAGTAGGATACATACAGAACGTGCTCCTAATCTGCTCCTTGCATTGAACTGTGCAATATCAGAAATGTAGGACACCCATATACAAATACATACACATACATATATATGATATGTATATATACACATACGATAAAATAATTACATTTATATTTAATCATAAATTATGCCATCAGTAAGCTTACAAACTGCATATGAAACATAAATAATATACCCAGAACAAGGGATATCAGAATATAATCACTAACGAGATTTCTTATCAGTACATATAGTAGTATAAAGCAAAATTTGGCTTATAAATTTGAGGTTTGCACACAAAAAAAATAATGGACATGAGATCACCTGATTTGCCCAACATCACATAATCACACAGTTGCAGTGCTGAGGGTTAGAATAGAATGTAAGCTTCCTTTTCACTTCAACATACTTTATTACTTAGGTGTCATGCACGCAGAAAACTATGTTGTGAAATGGAAAGTAAATCTGCCTTTAAAGGCATTGCGACTTGGGCTTGAGACCTACCTTTCCCTCTCACAAACCGTGTAACCTTGAGTAACCACTTCATCTCTGCAATCCAGTTCCCTCATTTGTTCAATGAAAAATCATAATATATGATAGCCTATCTCACAAGATTTTTCTGTATGACAAACACAATGAATGTTAAAGTACATGAAAATGCCATAAATCTGTTATTCTGAATGTTCATAACCACAGTTTTTCATTAGAAAAATTCTTAGCTATTAAAATTTGCTGAGTCAATAATTTAATATTCCATTCATTAGAACTGAAAGTACTACCTCAGAAACTGTCTACCTTTTTTCCATTTTAGGTAAATGATATATTGCTTATAAATTTTAAGTTGAAATATTTCTCCAAAACAAATGATGAGTGTTCACAGGGATACAATTTTCATTACTTGTTTTTTAAATAAATATTTACTGAGTCTCTAGTACATGTAAGCTCTGCTTCAGGTATTGAAAGAGAAATGAATAGATGGATATATCCACCCTAGAGGAATTTACAAAGAGCATTATGCCTTGAGAGCTCCCATTTGTATATCCTGGATGAAGCTGAAAAACATGATACAAATTTAGAATGCAGTCCTATTGTAATGTCTATTTCTTCAAAATTATCTTTTGATGAAATATTACACATTTATACTAACATGTCAAGGTTTTTACAAACGGAGTTAACAGTTTGCAAGTGTTTACTACATATTTCAGCAGCAACACCTCGTAAGGATATATCAGGTTCTCATAAAGTTTAAATACATTTTCGAATATTATGTCATCAATGAGGTTTCATATTCTTTGGCAATCATTTTAAATGGAAGAGTTTCTCCCACCAAGATATGAGACCATCAAGAAGACTAGCAGACTCTGAGCAGATCTTCAGAAGCAAGGGATTGGTTGCAGATGGAGGGAAGATGCAGACCCTGGGCTAAAGGAGTAAGAAGCTGTGGACCCTGCACAGGGCTGCCAAGCAACAGGACTTATTCTTGGCCCTGAGTGGCTCCCAGGGAAGGGATAAGTTAAATACACATGGAGTGGCCCACCACAGACCTCTGGAATCCTAGCTACAGGAGAACCCATGGATATTTGGGCTGGCAAGGGAGAGCTTCTTGGAGAGTTGACAGGGACAAGACTCTAGCCTGCATGGAACCCAGAGCATCTGGCATGGGAACAGTTTCAGTGGAGCATGACCAGGGACACCATCCCCTAAGGCTTGCCAAAATCAGAGCTGACCTGAACAAAATTGAGACACAAAAAAACATACAAAAGATCAACAAAACCAAAGATTGGTTTTCTGAAAGAGTAAATAAGATGGGCAGACTGCTAGCTGGACTAACAGAGCAAAAGAAAAGAGAATATCCAAATAAACACTATCAGAAATGACAAAGGAGATATTACCACTGACCCCAGAGATATACAAAAAGCCATCGGAGAATATTACAAACACTTTTATGCACATTAGCTAGAAAATCTAGAGAAATGGTTTCATTCCTAGGATACATTCCTAGAAACATATACCCTCTCCCATGATTGAACCAGGAAGAAATTGAAACCCTGAACAGACCAGTAGTGAGTTCTGACACTGAAACTATAATTAAAAACCTACCAACAACAAAAAGCCCTGGACCAGACAGGCACAGCCAAATTCTACCAGACATATAAAGAAGGGCTGGTACCAATCCTAGCTAAACTATTCCAAACAATTGATGAGGAGCGACTATTTCCTACCTTATTCTATGAGGCCAGCAACATTCTGATACCAAAATCTGGTGGAGACAAAATGAAAAAAGAAATTTTTAGGCCAATAACCCTGATGAATATAGATGCAAAAGTCCTCAGCAAAATACTAGCATAGCAAATCCAGAAGCACATCAAAAAGCTAATCCATCACAAACAAGTAGACTTTATCTCTGGGATGCAAGGTTGGTTCTACATATGCAAATCAATCAATTTGATTCATCACAAAACAAAACTAAAAACAAAAACCACCTGATCATCTCAACAGATGCAGAAAAGCCATTCCATGAAATTCAATCTCGCTTCATGTTAAAAACCCTCAATAAACTGGGCATCAGAAGAACGTTATCTCAACATAATAATAGCCATGTGTGACAAACCCACAGCCAACATCATACTAAACAGGCAAAAGCTAGAGGCATTTCCACTTTGAGAACCAGAACAAAATAAGAACGCACACCCTCACCTCTCGTATTAACATAGTTCTGGAAGTCCTAGCCAGGGAATCAGGCAAGAGAAAGAAATAAAAGTCATCCAAATAGAAATAGGGGACTTCACACTATCTGTCTTCACAGACTATTTGATTCCATACCTAGAAAACCTCATCGCAGACTGTTGAAGTGGCTCATACCGGTAATCCCAGCATGTTGGAGCGCTGAGACAAGTAGATCATTTGAGGTCAGGAATTCAAAGCCAGCCTGGCCAACATAGTGAAACATCAACTCTATAAAAAAATTGAAAAATCAGCCAGGCATAGTGGTGCATGCCTGTAATCTCAGCTAATAAAGGGTTGATTTTAATGATTTCTCCTGGCTACTCCACATTGACAGAGCAGGAGCACCATCATCTCAGACAACTGCCACTTTAAGTTTCAGCTCCCTTTCTAACATCATGCCATTTCAAGGAAATCACTTCTCTTCTCATTACAAGCAGCCAGAAAGAGCAAACAGTAAGACACAGGTAAAACAGGAGGCGGAGGCACAAGAATTGCTTGAACCTGAGAGGCAGAGCTTGCAGTGAGCAGAGATCACACCACTGCACTCCAACCTGGGCAACAGAGTGAGACTCCATCTCTAAAAAACAAAACAAAACAAAAATTGTTTCTGTCCAAAGGCTTCTAGATCTGATAAACAACTTCAGCTAAGTTCCAAAATACAATATCAATGTATAAAAACCAGTAGGATTTCTATACACTAATGACATCCAAACTGAGAGTCAAATCAAGAACACAATCCCATTCACAATGCCCACAAAAAGAATAAAATACCTAGGAATACAGTTAACAAGGGAGGTGAAAGATCTGTACTATGAGAATTGCAAAACACTGCTCAAAGAAATCACAGATTACATAAACAAATGCAAAAACATTCCATGCTCATAGATAGAAAGAATCAATATTGTTAAAATAACCGTACTACCCAAAACAATTTACAGATTCAATGCTTTTCCTATCAAATTACCAATGAAATTTTTCATAGATTAGAAAAAAAACCATTGTAAAACTCATATGGAACCCAAAAAAAAAAAAAAAAAAGAGCTGGAACAGCCAAAGTAATCCTACGTAAAAAGAGCAAAGCTAGAGGCAACACACTACCTGACCTCAAACTATACTACAGGGCTACAGTAACTAAAACAGCATGGTACTGATATAAAAACAGACACATAGACTAATGGAACAGAATAGAGACCCCATAAATACAGCCACACACCTACAACCATCTGATCTTCAACAAAGCTAACAAAACAAGCAGTGAGTCCCTATTTAAGAAAGGATGCTGGAATAACTGCCTTGTCGCACGCATAAGATTGAAACTGGAACCCTTCCTTCCACGACACATAAAAAATCAACACAAGATGAATTAAAGACTTCAATATAAGGGACTCTTGGAGAAAGGGCAAAGCAAGATGGCTGAAGAGAAATCTCCACCAATCATCCTTCCTGCAAGGGCACCGCATTAACAACTATACATAGAAAAAATACCTTCTTTTAATAACAAAAATCAGGTGAGCACTCATAGTACTTGGTTTTAACTTCTTATCACTAAAAGGCACTGAAAAGACTTTTTAAAAATCCAGAATCGTCAATGCCACCCCTCCCCCACCTCCACCCTAAAGGGGTGGCCTGATAGAAACAGTGTCTGAGTACTAGGGGAGGGAGAACACAACAGTTGTGATGTATTGAGCTCACTGCTGTCCTGTTAGAGCAGAAAGGAAAACCAGACCAAATTCAGCTGACGCCTGCCTATGGAGTGAGCATTTAAACCAGCCTGAACCAGAAGAGAATGACTGATATCAGCCACATGAACTTGAGTTCCTGCAAACCTTGCCAACAAGTTCTACAGCACTCTGTTTACTCCAAGTAAACTTGAAAGGCAATCTAGGCCATAGAGCTGCAAATCATAGGTGAGTCCTGGTGCTGAACTAGGCCCAGAGAGTGAACTGAAAGGGCACACAAAATACTGAGACACCAGCTGGGGCAGCCAAGGGAGGGCTGGCATCGCCCCTCCCCTA